ATCAAAAGTTTTCCGATGACGGCATTAATGTTGGTCAAGTCCAGAGTATTAAGAAATTACCTGCGGCTCCCACACCCACAATCCTACCTGAAACAAATAACGTAAACTACACGCTAAGAAACATCACGAGATCTTGCCGCTTGATACAGGACAGAATTGAGGAGAACATGAGCAAATATGCTCTGTATTATGTTTACGCCGCCATTGGAACCTTGATTTTTGCATACGGACAGATGGTGATGTGGAACATAGCTTCCGAGCGAGGGGTTAGAAACTTGAGCGAGAATTTAACCGATACAATGATGGACAAGGACCCAGGATTTTATGATACCAAGATACACGAAGGCGTGGTCAACCTACAAGGCCTCACGTAAGTAAAAGACATCTTGCAACAGACCCTTTTATAATGAAAATATTGCTCAAGCACTAAAAAATCTCATATTTATACATCTCATGATGCATTTAGACTGGAAGTCACGATTCACTCCAAAGAGGGAGACGGGGGTGGGGAGGGATTAGAAACTTAGGAGTCTCTGGGAGGAGGGGTGTTAATCAAAGCGTAACATTAAGGGTTAAGCACTAAGGTTTAAGGTATAATGTATTTATATTAGAATAACTTCTGACTATTTTTGTTTCACAGAGATCCACAGGAAGCTATAAGTCAAAGCGACTTGAACGCGCTCAGCGGGGGACTAGGAGGAGAAATCGCTTACATGATTCAGAGTTTGTCGAGTATGTTGTCGGGATTTCTGGTCAGCTTCGTAGAAAACTGGAAAATCACGTTAGTGATGATGGCTGCTGGACCTGTGCTAGTAGCAGTTCAGGGAATAACCGACAAGGTAAGGTAGAGTGTTGATCCACCTGATGTCGACCTATTTCCAATTTCACAAATGGACTTTGTGTAGATATGACGGAGAGTCTTAATACGGTGATGAAATTTACGGATAAACGTTATTCCATGGAAAATGCGCACGAACGATTTACTCCCGAGTTGCAATGCATCAACTGAAAAAACGAACGAGTGAGGTAAGTGGGTAAGTTTTTTGATGCTTCAGATCGAGTGAAAAAAAATCGTTCAAGCAAATATTTTTATTTCATACATACTTAGATTTGTACTGTGAAGTACAAAGCGAAAGACTGTGAAATTAAATCGTTCGTCCAATCAGAGACACGAACGATAGCAATTCACAGTGTAAATCATGGTAGGTAAATGAAGATCTACGTTTTCGCCGGTGCGATGCTGATTTTATTCATCCGCCATTTTTTAACAGGTTCAAACATTTGTCATGCAGCAGAAGGAAGAGTTGATGAAACGCGCCGGTGGATTGGCCAGGAAGAGCATGGGGTCGATAAAAGCGGTGGCGTCATATGCCGGGGAGAAGTTAGAGAAGGCTAGGCAAGTAAATAACAACACATGATCAAATGAACTGAGCCCCTGATATTTCAATTCAAGGAAGATAATTTCGCTGCCAATCGTTTGTATCGAGCCAATAACCTTTTTCAGTCAGTCAGGCTGTCAAAACGGTCATTCAATCAGTCAGTCAATCAGGAATTGAAAAACCCAGGTGATCAGGCGGTCTGTCAATCGTCATTAAACCACTCATCGTCTGCCAGTCAGTCACACAGTCAATCGGTCAGTCAGTCACTCAGTCATACAGTCAGTCAGTTAGTTGGTCAGTCAGTAAGTCATTCGTCAGTAATACAGTTAGTCAGTCAGTCTCAGTAATAAAGTCAGTCAGTCAGTCATTCTGTCTGTCATTCATCAGTAATTCAGTCGTCAGTAATAAAGTCAGTCAGTCGTCGGTAATACAGTCAGTTAGTCAGCCAGTCGTCAGTCGTCAGTAATAAAGTCAGTCAGTGAGTTAGTCGTCAGTCACAGTCAGTGAGTCAGTCGTCAGTAATACAGTCAGTCAGTCAGTCGTCAGTAATAGTCAGTTGTCAGTTATATAGTCAGTCACTCAGTCAGTCATTCGTCAGTCATACAGTCAGTCAGTCATTCGTCAGTAATACAGTCAGTCAGTCAGTCGTCAGTCGTCAGTAATATGGTCAGTCACTCAGTCAGTCAGTCGTCAGTAATATAGTCAGTCACTCAGTCAGTCAGTCGTCAATAATACAGTTAGTCGGTGCCTCAGTCAGTTAGTAGGTCAATCGCATAGTCGATCAAAACGATAAGTAAAAATGACATTTCTCTCATATTTTTGCATATTGCATTGTATCCTAATTCCTGACAACGAATTGTCTATAGTTCCTTGTTCATAAAGCTTTGTTAAACTGCAGATATTCTGGTAAAGTAGAAGCAGCAAACAATCTCAATAAACTCAAAAGTCTCATTCTTGGTGTGCAAAAAGGACTCACCACTTTACTGGCTTTTGGTTTTCTCGGCTTGGGTTTTTGGTAAGTAAAAGTGGATCAAAGTTAAGACAATGTAATACAATTTTTTCTCGACATGTGTTTCCGGGAGTGGTTATGTGAGTCAATTTTTGCTTAGGTATGTACCGCTGGTCTGTCAGAACCTCTACCCCATTATAGTCTGTTCTTTAGTCAGTTATTAATCCCATCTTGGTCACTTTTGGAAAATGTAATTCTCGCTATCCCAACTTAGTGAAGAACGGAATGTTAAATATCAAATATTAAAACAACAGCACGAAATTCATCGAAAACTTTTTAACCCACGAATCTTTCCATTATTAATTTCCTACTTACAATAAGTTTTTAACACCAAAAATCCCGACCCCATTTTAATAACTATTTAAAAAATGTAAACCTATAATAGTCAATCCAGTCGTGAAGATGCGACCCTGTCCAATGGACTCTGCTTTTCAGTTATTTGATACGGAATAAACTTGAATTTTTTTGGAACCTATCTAGGTATAGTTCTACTCTACTACCAGGTGGAAGTATCACTCCAGGAGCTGTGATGACGGTTGGTCATGTTTTAACTTTATTGCATTTAGTTACTGATTGCTGATTACTGATTGATTAAAGATTGCCCATTTATCTGTCTGTATGTCTGTTCAGCTTAACCATGATGACCATCAATTCTCGACTGGATCAATTGACACATTGTAGAGCTATGATCAGTGAAGAAATAATTGTTCATTTTATCTCTGTAGATATTTATGGCTATCATCTCTGGTGTGATGCAAATGGCAGGTACTGGAGAGCAACTTGAAGATATCGGTGACGCCAGGACGGCGTTATCATCATTGCTTGGAATCTCAGAGGTAATGAGACAGGTTCTAATACTCTTATGATATTCACTACTTGAGATGTCGCATAGACATTTTCGTTTCAGGACTTTTCGCGCACTAACATCGCTCGAAACGCGCAGGCTACGCACTAAAGAGAGCCTCCACGCAAGATACACAAACTCAAAGAAGATGTGGCAAAGTACCCTCTGAGATGCCGCACAGAGTTCACGCAACTTTCCGTGGCGATGCATGGCACTACATTTGGAGCAAAATAATGGCGAGGTTTTTATCTTCCTTCCTAGACCGATGAAGACCCCTTTGACAAGGCCACTAGTCAGCTTGACACAGTTCTTGGCAAACTGGATGTGTTTAACGTGTACTTCCATTATCCTTCTCGACCTGAATATCAGGTATGTCAAACAAGGGTATGCTGTTTGCCCGAAGTTCTTTCGTTAATTGCAAAAAGAGAGATAAAAGAAAGAAATTGTCGTCAACTGCTTGCGTAACACCTTAGGTCATCTAAATGGATTTTTCTTTGAACGATTTTCTTATTTTTGACTCGTGTTTGTAAATTGAAGAACACACGAATTTTTCTCTTACTTTATTGCACAGGTCCTTAAATCCATCAATTTCACAGTGGAAGAGAATCAGACAGTTGCTCTGTTAGGAGACAAGGGCAGCGGAAAGAGCGCGTTGATAAAATTGCTCCAGCGAATTCATGATCCACAAACTGGGAAAGTAGGTTTACGAGTCTCAAAAGATGGCCATAATTCCCTTTTCAAAAAACCTTCTTTTTGTCTCTGCGCGATCTGAAAGCACTAATTTGACGTTTCAGCCGTTGAATTTCCCGCTCTGTTCGCGTTTTGGCTTGACATATCTGTCTTAAGTATACCGGAGGCGTAGTGCGCTTGAAAATGTTTGGTATCGGTGTCGGACATTCCAGATTTTAATGTTCGCGGAGAAATACCACTTTTTCTTGCATAAATAACGTGTTTGACCTTTTTTTCAGGTTTGTAAGTAAAGAATTATGGTTAAGTGAGCAATCTTAATTCAACGTGGGAACCTTCTGTGACGCATACATTTGGCATCCAACCCAGAATAAGTAGTATTGTTTTAATGAATCGTACGACCCCGCGCGAAGGTTTTTTGATAAGCTTAACCTTATGCTAACCTTATCTTCACATTACAAGGTGCGACTCGACAGGCAAGATGTTCGTTTTCTTGATCGACGCTGGTATCGCCGGCAAATTGGCATCGTCCACAAGAAACCTGAGTTTTTTAACACGTCAGTAGCAGATAACATTGCTTACGGAAAAGGTGAAGCCACTTTGAAAGAAATAGTGCGCGCTGCAAAGGTGGCTGGGGCGCACGAATTCATCTTAACTTTGCCACACGTAAGTGAAACAAGTTATTTTCAAACATTTCTATGACGTAGAAAATATTTCACTTGTTCTGTGAGGGCATGGTATAAAGAAATTCGAAGAAACGAACTCCAGGCCTTCGGATTTGGCCCTGCGATGTTCAACCACTGAGCCAGGGAAAACGATAGTGAACTAGGGAATATACAAGGTTCCTATGTAACATGCTGTCTGTATACTGATTGGCAAAGAGGAAAGCGTCAAAGCTCTGAGTAAAGTATAAAAAATAGTCAATGTCCTATGCTCCTGAAAATTAGACGACCGTGCCAAGAGTTTATCACCTTCCTTATTCTGTTTTCTGCAAATGGAGTAATAATTCCATCAAATGATGGAGGAAAACTATTTTGCTTATAATCCAGGGATACGCTACGGTGGTAGGTGATGACGGATCTCCGCTGACTTCTTATCAGAAACAGTTAATAGCTTTGGCACGAGCATTAATCAGAAATCCTCGGATATTGTTGTGGGAGGAAGACTTGTCTATCATGGACAACTTTGCCCTTGATGCTTTGACAAACTACTTGAACCAAGTACGTTCCTTAATATCAACTTTATTTCTACTCTAATGTAAACACCACAGTTTTACAAATCAAACTATTCACGCACAAACTTGGTTTACCTCTTGAAGCTTACCCTTCTACTCTCATAATATTATAACTTGTAACTTTTCTTTACAATATCAAAAACACGAGTTGCCTGACACTATAACAAACCACACTACCTAATTTACAATGAAAGTATAGAAGTAAGACGAATCAGATCTCAGTAAAAATGATAGCGTCAATAAATATCCTGTTTTATCCTCAGCGTGATGGTAAAATACGTAGCAAAGAGCATGAATTATAAATTCCATATAAATGAAAATAAAGGAGAGTCAATCAATACTGGGTATGATAGGTTTTTCCTTCTCAATTTGTTATATAAAATGTGTAACGTTTCAGGCAAGGCTTGGCCGCACCACGGTAATTTCAACCAGTCACGTGTCCGTAGCGCGTATAGCAGACATTATTGTTGTCCTTCATAATGGTGAGATAATCGAACAAGGGAGTCCCAAGGAACTTACGATGTCAGGAGGGGCATTCAGATATCTGGCTGCTTTACAGGTCAGTTGACGTTAGTTGGGTTTTATGTCAGCTTTCTGTACCTGGAGTTGTATGTTCCTGGTAGTTCTGAAACATTTTCCCCCTTTTCTTCATGTTAATATCGATAACCAGAAAGTTGGACGATGCAAAAAAAGAAAGAAAAGGAAAGTTGGTCAAGTCGGCCTACTTCTATGCGTTGTTACGCACCGCTCCCTTACGCGACATTTCAAAGAACGACTCGGTGCAAAGGAGGCTGTGGTGTAATCTCTCTAGGTCTCTAAAAGAAACTAAGGAAATATTTAATAACTTACGACTTGTTAACTTAAAGACACTTAAAACTGTTCCTTTTTCAGTATTTTGAATCTCAGACGCTACACCAAGAGAAATTATTGAAGACTGGTGAGACAAGCCTCTCCATCGTATTGTGCAGTTTAAGAATTATTTAGGATCTGAGCTCAGGTAAACTTTTTTTATGTGATTTACAGTACCAGTTGCATCGGAAGTGTCGCTGTTTAAGGATGGCATCGAAGAGCTGGAATCTGGTTTGACGCAGACCCAAGAAGAGACTACAGAGCAAGTGAAAGGCTTCGTATCCAAGATCCGACACATGATCCAAGAAAAGGTGACACAAGTTCTTGATTCAGCTAAAACAAATAAGTAATGATTTTTTGTGTGTGTGAAAGAGGACACGATGATGTGAAAGTGAAATCTTGAGCGTCTTGTAGTCGGCCAAACTACCTGCTTACCTCCCACCTAACTTTTCTCTCTTTCTCTCTTCCTCAATCCTCCCTTCCTTCCCTCGCTTCCCCCCTCCTTTAGCTACCTGTCCAGCTACCCCGTTGCATGTACCTACGTACCCGGCTGTCTGTTTCTTGGTCTTTCTGCCTATTCTATAACGTAATTGCCTAGCTTCCTACCTACCTTACCTACCTACAATCTTCTCTGCCGCTTTCTTTTGAGAATAGATTAAAAGAGTAGTTCTGCGTTCAATCAAAAATTTTTGAGAGCAGGGATGGCACAGTGCGAAGAGTTCCCCTCGCCCTCCGCTGTAGCTTGGGTACGATTCTTGCATCTAGTGTCACATGCGGGTTTAGATTTGTCATTGGTTCTAGTAATTACCTCGAGGGTTTTATATTCTTTATCCTGACTCGATCCGAAAACAGCGAAGAGCCACCTGGTATCACGACTAAAGAAGTACAAATGTAATCCTATTCTAGCAGGCGCAGCCGAGATCCCTTCTATATACAAAATATCAACACCATTTTCTTTGGGAATCAAAGCACTTATTCTTCGTTTCCTCTGTTAGTTTATATAGCAACGAAATATAGTGAGCAGTTATGTGGTTTCTTGTTTTTAATAACTGACTAATATTTAAACATCGCATTTCAGTTAAACGAAGGAGAGGCTGCGTACAAAATGATAAGAATGCAGCTTCAAGACCTGCCACTGTTGTTATCGGGGGCTCTAGGAGCAGCCATCACAGGAATGATCGCCCCGGGCCTCTCATTTCTATTTGGAGAGATACAAAAGGTGGCTTTTATACACAGAAGAATATGAACTAAGCTTATTTGTTCAAGCTCTCTGCTGGAAAAGCTACATATGTTAAGGCGCTATTAATTCTTTACAAAAACTGCAATACAATACCGTAACACTATATCACTGGTGATATTCCAAACTGGTTTGCCTAAAATGATATCTTTAAATTTCTTTTTGAATCATATGTTTGGATTCGTTTTAAACTGCACATTGCTTTTTTTCTTTGTAGTTTATGAATGATCCTCTAAGAGTTGCTCGTGAAGGACCCTTCTGGGCGAGTATGTTTGTTTTACTTGGAGCAGTAGTAGGATTTGGTGGCACGATCGAGGTAAGAATCTCTTTTGCTTCGCAGCGGCAATATATCAGAAACGGAAAATATTGCATGAACGCTGCAGGTAATAGACTACCTGCTTATCACAATAGTACATCAGAAAAATGAGTTCAACCGTATTTTTAATAACATGCGGAATATGAAGGCTGCCGTCAATCAAGATGCAGAACACTCGAAAACGGGTGCAAAGTTTCATTGGGCTGAAAAGGTCAAGCTCTGAATTGTCATGGAAGGATTTCGATCAATTCTAATTTAGAATCGCAATTTTGGCTCTGAGAATCAGAATTCGCATGCTATAGAAACGTGTATTACTGTTTTTTTTCTCTCTAAATTAATTCTTAAGTTCATTTCAAGTTATTTTGATTTTGATTCTGAATAAAACTAGACATTGTTTTATTTATATATTACATAGTTACAAATTTCTTTATACTTTCAATTTCAGAAATTTATGCTCACCTTTGCTACGGAGAAGTTAAAGACACGACTCCAAAAACTGGCCTTTGAAACAGCAATAAACAAAGTAAGGGTTTAATCTCATTTCTCTCTAAAGTCACTCAAGACAAAAAGGTGCTAACGTGTGTGATCTCCTCAATTAGAACTCAGTGCCTCAGAATTCAGGGATAGGTGGCGTATTTCCTGGTAGTGGTGGGCAGATTCCCCAGTCTACAGGTTTTGACCTCCCATTCGTTCCTGGCGTTCCCACACAGCAGTTTGGAATTCCCTCTCAAACGTTACCAACAGGAATGGATGGATTGCCAACCTTCCAAATTCCTGGGATGGGTGATGGCTTTCCTCCTGAATCTGGAGGAGGGTTAGCTCAGTCTAAGGGGAACCCCTTCGTAGCAGTTCCTAGTGTTGGAACGCAGCCGTTTGGAATCCCTTCTCAATCATTACCCTCCGGAATGGAAGCTCTTACGTCTGGTAGAATTCCGGGGATGCCTGATGGTACATCATCGATATTTCCTGGATCAATAGGACCGTTTCGTGGTGAACAGCAGTCAACGCCAATGAGCTTACCCACTGTTCCTGGTTTACCCTCAGAGCAGTTGCTATCTCTAGGAGGGATTTCTTCCGAATCGTTATCATCAGGCTTGCAAGGACGACTGTCTGAACAAATGGCAGGAATGGGTGATGCATCTTCTGTATTTCCTGGAGCCAGTGGGCTGAGTGTTCCTCCTGTCCCTGGTGTGCCTTCAGAACAATTGCCATCCTTTGGGGCAATTCCTCCCGAGGTTTTATCATCAGGCATGAAAGCAATTCCCTCTGGCCAGATTCCACAAACGAGTGACGCATACACACCTCAGCCAATGGGACTAAATCTACCTTCTCTTCCTGTTGTGCCCACAGAGCTTTCACCCTCACAGATACAAGGTAACATTCCAGCACGAGTCAGTCCACAAGGAGTCAATCCTTGTGGATTGGGACTTGAACAAAGACTTCCCAGTAATTTGACACAGCTTAGTCCAACAGGAGTAACAGAGCTTGCATTAAACAATCCCCAGTTGCACGTTCCTGGCTTAATACCCGGCTCATTACCGTTTTCAGGGATTCCAACAGGAGTGGCATCAGCCGGAGGAGTGGTACATTTACCTGGTACACCCATGGAAGGTTATGGGGCATTCGTACCCAACTCGCAGATTAGTTCTGGTGCGGTGCCTCATGGAGGTTTACCTTCCACGTATGGTGTTGTGCCAGCTGGAACACAATATAATGCGAACAACGTGCCTTCATTTGCTGATCAACGAGGGATTCAAGATTTAGAGGGAATAGGGCTCCCCCCAAATATACCAAACCCACGACCGGATCTATTGGTGAGTTGCAAACCACTTGAATAATTCGATATGATGAAATTCCCCTCTTAATCTCAGCTAAGCTTAAGCCTTCATTTAAAGACCTAAAATTTCTTTCCTTCATAATTCAGGCACGTGTAGCGCGCCTGTACATCTTTGAAAACACTAGCACTTTGTGTTCAAGTTTATCATTATACAACTGAGGAATATGTAGAACTTGGGCAAGCGCTTGAAGTTAAGAAAATTGAAAGTAACGGCCGCTTGAAGTTAAGAAAATTGAAAGTAACGGCAATAGCCTATTTCTGTTTGCCTTTAGGTTTTGCCAGATCCACAACAGCAAGCGGATCAACTCATGAGCCAAGTTGAAAAGGATGTAGAGGCAGCTTTACAAAATGTGAGTGTCTCTTAAAAGCTGAGGTTGACATTCCTTAATCTAATATAACCTGTTTCTCAGTCAGCCTTGCTGAGAATGTTTCATAGAATAAAGTTTGAGATCACTGATCGTCGTTGTTACGGTAGATTTGATTTTGTTAAGGTATCAGAGCAGAAGTGTCCGAGATACAATGTTAAAATATTATAATGACTCTTAGGGCATCAAGAACTTGTCATGTTGAAATATCTTAAGCCAAAGAACTAATGTGATTCTTTAAAATCTAGCTCTTTTAGTTTTTTTGTTCTTAAGCCACACTTGTGGAGAAAAAAAAAAGTGTGTCCCAAGGTTTCGTTTGCGGTGAAAAAAAATTTGATAGAGCCAATTGAAGAAGATTATCCTGCTTTGTTTTGCCGAAAATTGTGTGTAGAAACGGATGGCTGCACGAACGTACAGCCGAATTGACCGACAGAATATGTGCTATGAGGTACAATGATGCTCTCGCTCTATCAGTCTATAGGAAAATACCTTGGTCCCAAAGTACAGGAGACCATTTCGTCAGTATCAACGCTCGGCATGGCTCTTTACAACGGATGGAAGATGACTTTGGTGGTGCTTGCTGGACTGCCAATAATTGGGCTGGCTAATCGGATTCAACAGAACGAAGCTGACGCTACGGTGGAACCGGAAGGGGTTGAAGCAGTAAGTGCACCATGTTGATGCAGATCCTCTCTTCTATTTAGAAAGACATTGTGAGTACTGGCTTTCTATGTCTCTCTATGTCTCTATTAAATTACACCTCGATATTTTTTCTGGTTGTAACTGCAATGACTCTGACTTTGAAGAAATTTTTTTGCTGTCTCAGAAATTTTAAAATAACGAAAAATTTCGACGAAACTCCTTTTTTCACATGTTTTCTGTAGAAGGTTACCAATGTATAATGACAAATTTGCTCTCAAATGTTAATTACGTGGTATTTCTACGGACAGACTCGATTTAAATCAGTTCTCGAATATATCTGAATAAATTTTAAACAAAAGGCCCTCATCGTTCCATTTTTTCTCTTTTCAATCGTAGCTCATGAAAACAAGCTTCAAGAAAATGGAAACAATTTCCGCCCTTGGAATGGAAAATAAATTCGCGAAGAAATACAAGGATGCAATCTTCGAAAAATATAAGTAATAAATAATACTTGTGTTCCTAATCTTTACTTACTTTTCGAAGATAATGATATTAATCATCAACTACATTTTTTTGTAACTTACAGCTTCTGTTGTGCGGTGACCAAAAAATTTTCTGAAAGAAGACGCACAATGGACCATACTTATATCCTCAGACTATAAAGCGTAGTTTTCGTGCTACTCTCTCTACAGGCTCTCTCTCTCTCTTTTCTTGTAAAACAAGTTCGCAGAATTTAACTTTCAGTAACAATCTCTTCACCTCAAAAAGTACCCTATTTCAAACTCATTACGCCTTCAATCTGAGGGCACTAACTACTACTTATCACCTACATTGTGTCCGAAATTTTGGCTGTATTCAGTTATCATTGCTCAACCGTTGACTTTCCTTTCTCACAGACAGGCGTTGAAGAAGATTATTGCCAGTGGTTTTGCTTTCGCTTTGGGACAAGCTATGGTGTTCTTCATTTATGCAGGTGCACTTAGGTTTGGATGTTACCTAATCAGCATAAGGGATATGGCTGCCATTGAAGTTTTAGGGTAATTTTCCATTTTGTTCTCGTCACTCCTACTAACTTATTGTCAAGTGGTACAAGCCGTTATATAGAGAATAATACATGGGCGCGCCTAGATAAGGAATTTCTCTTCGAGTGTTTCACTCGATAGCTCACGAGTGAGCGCTGCGAACGAGTGAGATGTCGAGTTGAACAAGAGAAGAGAAATTCCATATCTACAAGCAACAACAAGTATGTGTTATTTTGTTTATCATGTAAACACAATAGCCCTTTACTGAAAAGAAAATCCGACTTCATTAATGAATGAAAAGAAATGAATCGGCAATCCCCGAATAACAATCGCAGAGTGGTGCGTTGGCGCTAACTCTTAAGATGGAAAAAATGCGTTGAATCATGATTACAAAAACAACAATGGTCGTAATTTTCAATTTACAAAATTCTTATTTACTGACTCTTTCCTTACCGACAGTAGAAGTTTTTCAGGTTAACGGCCAAAATCGGCCACTGGTAAATCTTCCAGTTGTCAATTTTCATTCCCAGCCGAGAGAAATGCTAACACCAAAGCCACTGAATATGTAACTTTCGGTTTTTCTTTTAGTATACTGATTTCCTTCCCCTTCTAAGAATTTTGAACCTCACAGTCTGTCAGCGATACGGATTTTTTAGTGTTTTAGCCGCCATAAACAACTCGTACTGAGAATTGTGAAGGCCTTGCTGTTCATATTTTTCAACCTGACTTGGTGGTGCCAAAGGCGAGTGACGTGTCAGCAGCCGATTGGCTATATCACCACACGTGAAAAAATACGATTTTTTTTCACGTGTGCTGTTGTGGCTTTTCTCAGAGCTGGAAATCCCTGTATAACACCGCAGTTTATGTGATAAAAATATTTCTCCTTTTGTTTTAGAGTGTTAATGACTGTACTGTTTGGTTCGTATGCAACGTCAAGTTCACGAGCGCCGTCCCACGCGCATGAAGAGAATGAAGATTCGCTGAACAGACTCTTTGACGACGAGTCACTAGACGTGCAAGATCACATTGGTGACAAGTTGGTGAGCTTTTACATTGATTAATTTGTGAGTTTACCATTAGTTAATGAGGCTTCAATAATCTTTCTGCCTCGTTCCTTTGATTTGCAAGTGAACTAAAGAGTTTCCAACCGAGATGTCATGCATGAAAGTTAAGAGATGCTTTAATAAATGGAAAAAGTTGTTTATGTTTTACCAAAAAAAGATTTTGTAAGGAATCACTTAAATATATGAATAACAGAATAAACGTGCGATCAAAAGTCTGGTTATTGGTATCAGAAGAGTTTGAAAGTTTTTAAACTAAAGTAATTTTTCACGCAGGATGAGGTTGAAGGAAACTTGGAGTTTAAACATGTTGAACTTCCAGATCCACTCCATAACGACGCTCCGTTACTGAGCCAGCTGAGCGTGAGGGTCAGCAGTGGACAAAAACTGGCTATTGTTCAACTGGACAGCGATAAAGTGAATCCATTTGAACTTTTATTGGAGCGTTTCTTTGATCCTGTCAAGGGAAACTTGGTAAACATCATAACTTCATTTTACAGTTTACAATAAACACTTCTCTAAACGATGTAACTTTGCCTCATATATTTGTATGGAGCTAAAAAATTCCATTCAGTGATCTTCTTTCAACAAAATGTTAGTTATTTGCTTTTTTGAACGCATCATCGACAAATCCCGTCCCGCGCCAGGCAAACAAACAGTCAAACAAACAAACAAAAAAACCAGCAACAAGAGCGACAGCACGAAAGCAGATCTTAAAAGGATAAACTGCCTTATTCAATGGACGCAGTCTTTGATCTTGATTGAAAACATTTTCTTACGACTTTATCATCTGTTGTCTTCATAAAATGGACACCTCTATTTTCCTGAATGCGTCCCTCAATTAACTAAGCTTGCTCTGTAGTTAATGGTGTATACTAAATTCTCCTTTGCCCGCAGCGTCGTCTATCATATATTATAGCGATTAGGGCTCGTTTGAATATACGTTTTTAACTCTGCATTCGTTTTAGCTTTTAGATGGAGCAGATATTCGCAATCTGGATCTTTCTTGGTTACGATCCCATCATGCAGTAGTGTCCCATCGATGTTTCCTGTCACATTACAGTATTGCTGAGAATATTGCTTATGGCGACAAAGGAAGGCTCGTGACACAAACGGAAATTGAGGACGCTGCCTATTCAGCGTATGCACACGAATTTATCGTGGATTTGCCAAAGGTAACGAACTGATCAACTAAATCGTACAGATTGCTACAGTTTGAGTGACAAATACTTAGAGTTGATCTTCAAAAGAGAACAATTGTTTGCGTTCGAGCCAATAAAATAGAAGGCTGAAATAATGAAGCAGAGATAAAAGAAAGTGTTCCTCCCTATATAAGCACTGTAAAACATCAGTTCTCCAAAAGTCTTCGGTTAGCATAACTAAATTCTTTTAATTTTTTGCCAAAGTTTGAGGAATGTGGTATAGCAACGTCTGCGTTTCTATCGTTGATAGTGATTCATTAGTTTCCTGATTCATTGATTGTAATCATGTAAAAAGTAAAGGTTTGAAAAATAGCTCCATATGGAGATAAGTTATTCATTTTTCAACCTTTTCAATGGTTCGTTCTCGCTGTCTGTTTTAGAGTTATGAAACAATTCCTGATGAAGATCAAATCAAATTGAGCGATAGTCAGAAACTAAGGATCGTTATAGCACGGGCAATTATCCGAGAATCGCCAATCATCATTTTAGATGAGCTGGAAGAAGAAGATCAGGTATTATGATTATATTTAAGGAAAGAGATTAGAACGAACGACTGTTAGATTATGCGTTCATCAATGCGTTCATCTATTGTCCATTTTTTCATTCAGTCATTCATTAACTCAGTCGTCCACCTATGTGAATCACGTAAACAGTCAGTCAATTAGTCCTATTACCAGCCAGTCAGTTCCTTTGTCCGGTTGTTCATACTCAGTCAGCCAGTCAGTCAACCAGTCAGTCGTTCAGTCAGTCTGCGAGCCAGCCAGTCAGTCGTTAGACAGTCAACGAGCCAGCCAGCCAGTCAGTCAGTCTGTCATTCAGTCAATCAATCAGTCAGTCAGTCAGCCAGTCAGTCAGTCAGTCAATCGGTCTGTCACTCAGTAAGTCAGTCAGGCATTTAGGTTATTCAGTCAGTCAGTCAGTGAGCCAGCTAGTCAGTCAGTCAGTCAGTCAGTCAGTTGGTCAGTCAGTCAGTCAGTCAGTCTGTCATTCAGTCAGTCAGGCATTCAGTCAGGCATTTAGTAACTCACCCAGTTGTTCAGTCAGTCAGTGAACCAGCTAGTCATTCAGTCTGTTAGTCGGTCGGTCAGTCTGTCAGAGGGTTGGCCAGTTTTCTTCCCAATCTCGCGGCGTTTTCCAATGAGTTTCATGACTGCCTCAGAAGTAAAATAACACGATGAATTGACCTATTTTGGTCCGCAGGCTGTGACTGATGCCACTGATATCCTTTGCCGAGATAAAACCTGTATCATACTCACAAGACGGAGACAAACAATTGAAACTGCAGACTACATTATTCTTATTTACCACGGGCGCATACTTGAACAAGGAAGTTTGAATGACCTTCTGGAGCAGAGACGATTGTTTTATTTATTAACAAATTTAGCAGACGCTGACGAGTTTTAGGTGGCTTTTTGTATATTTTAAGACGTTGTTAAAGCGAAAAACTTTTCTAACTTTATGAACGTGTTTTATATCTTTTTTCCTGAATTAAAATATATAAAGATCAAACAAAATGTTAGACTATGTTTAATCATAGTTATGATTTATCAAAGTTCTTCATGCGAAGCACTAGTTGTCTTGTTTTCTGCGATCTTTTCTTTCTTTTGTCTCAATGCTGCAACTCGGTTACTCCTGGGCATATCAACTTGTAGGCATCCTGTGGAAGAAAAAGACAATAAATTTTATCAAGACTGTAACTGAGATGTTAATTGCATGAAAGTAGCCTTGTGCCGGTGGTTAACGAAATAAATGGTAATGTACGTCGCAACTATTTAAGGGAAATAAACATACATACCTTTGTCGTCATCAACTAAAACTCTCTTGGCACAGAGCCATTTGGTCAAGTCACGAGATTGCGCCTTCATAAACCAATGGATGAACAGTTTTTGCGTCTCCTTTAACATTTCGTGGCACTATATCAAAGGAAAAATGGAAAAAAGGTTGAGAATTGTTTGCTTTCGCTGTTGGTCTCTCAACTGATACCGGTAGTCGCGTGTGTGTTGTCTAAAGCTAGTTTGTAAGCTGGTAGATTTTAAGAGATTAACCACTACTAGTTTTGATTATCAGAATGTCGGGACTATAGCTGTATGTCAATGTCGCATGTGTACATAGACAAAGCACGATTTACATAGTACAATGAGAAAACAACTGATATCAGCAGAGAATATCAGCTGATACTCTCTCGATATCAGTCATTACGACAGAGCACCAACTGCAGAAAAAAAAAATCTAATTTATATTAGAAGAATGTTTTAAACCCTGAAATATGTCATATTCACATACACTTAATGTAATTCAGTTCTAGGTAGTAACTTAATAGAAGAAAGTTACCAAAGTTAAAGTAAATGCTATACCTATAGTGAATTTAACAAATGAAAACTTTTACTTACTTAATCAATTTTTTTTTACAATTTGAATTTGGCGTACCTGTTCCTTGAGCCGTCTTATTTCGCCTGTTGGATCATCAATGTCCTCTTCTGGCGTAGCAAACACCCACTTTTGAATTCGAGAATCTTTTGTGATCTCTTCAATTTGCTTGCGGAATATACTTTTTACTGAAAACGAAAAAATCCACAAGCGGTATATCAGACTGTAAATGATTTGAATGCTGTAGGTATTAAAGCCTTGTTTGTACCCTTTGTTGTTCTTTACTCCAGAAGCCATCTTCAACCATTATGTTCAACCAATCTTGAAAAAAGAATCCTTATCTCTCAAGTTCACCATTAGCATTCCGTGTTCATTACTTACCCTTGTTACTTTTGCTTTAAACTTTAATTTTATTTGGTGTTTCTTCGTCAAATATTCCTCTACACTTGAACTAGAATTTCGGAACGTAGCGCCTTTAAAACCTATACACCGTTCGCGTCCCACAAGCGGCTTATCTGTGGACCGCAAGCGCAATCTTATCGTTTGCTGCGTGATAACTAAAAGTTTTTGTGAGTCACGAGAAACTGGTCTTCAACACGATATATATCTGTAGTATTATTTTTATGACTTCCTTCGCGTGATCAATGAACTTTAAATTGATAGAGAAAGCATTGAAATGAATAGCGACTGACTGAAAAGGATTGCAAGGGTGTAATCTTTGATAAACTAGTGCACCATTCACCTATAAATTAGGAATTTACTTACTATAGGTACTTCTAAACGACTCATGCTACAGAAACTAGTGCAAGGTTCGTCAGCTTGCTGAAACAAGCCCGCATTTACACTTAAACTCCTCCTTTTGCCAACATCAATAACTCAATATTGCCTGCCTAAGCCTCTCCCCTTTGACTATAGTTGTTTTACGTTTGGAACGGTACTTACCTCCCCGTTTATATCTAAAAGGAACCTTTGCTCTGACGCTGTACTTCGTCATTGCGTCACATATGTTCTCCGTAACCCTCAACATAACTAGTTCCCTGTTATGGAAGAGAAATAAAAAATGAAGGCTGTCTGGTGTTAAAAAAATGGTGCATTACGATGAGAGAGATCTTCGTTCCCTCAAAGTTCACAAATATCCTTTTCTTGTTGTCTGAGAGGATCCTTTTTGCTTACTTTAAGATGCACGAATAACATACTGTAACAAATGAGCTAACAATGAGTTATTTCAATCATAAATAAGAAATATTTCTTACTCTTTGTAGTAAATCGGAGGCCTGGTCTCCCGGGGTTTTCTAATCCTTGCAATCTTTGTAAGCTTATTCTCAACTTCAACCGCCAATAGTCTACAAACTTGAAAAGAGTACAAAGTATTACACTCGCAATAACAAGCATTCATTATTTCCTTTGGGCAGCTTCGTTTATTTAGACTCACCATGACATTTTGTTGGAAGATGCTTGGCTGTTTCTAAGTCTCCTTCTCCCCCATCATCGCTATCATCCTCGTCATCGTCATAATCATCGTCTTCGTCTTCCTCCGAAACTTCTTCGCCTTCATCCAAGTCTGATCGTCCGTTCTTTTCACGTTTCTTGTCGTCTTGCTCTTTTATCGTTACAATCGATTCTTTTTTGATTCTAATTCCATCGATAATTTCATACTCGTTCTCAAAGTCTTTAGCGTATATTGTAGTCCATAGGAAAACTAGAACAAAAGCCGCGCAATACCTCGAAGATAAACGCATTTTCCATGCACACTTCGGTGAAAATAGCTTAAAACTTGTCGAGGATTTCTTCAACGAAGTTTTGTTAAAGATGAGTGGGCACAAAGGAAATAAAAAACTAAAGACGGATTGTGACACTCAATCAGTTGTGCGAGTTACGGTTATGCTGTATTGGTAGCAAGCGAAAAAAGTTTAGATCGTTGACAATCGTTGAGGACGTTTGTCTCATTCATTGTTATTTATCGTGGCACAGTGCCATTGTATAATTTGTTCTATTGTTATTCGCTAATGTATGCAATGAGACAAACCATTTAGTGTTCATAAAGAGATATCCTTCCACTGAAACTCGAATGCTTTAAAAATGATTATTCACCGCCAGTTTCTCCGTTTGCAAAGAGAAATCATACTGCAGTATTCTTCAGTGACTAGTTATTTTGATGGATTTAAAGAAAGCGAACCCGTTGTCTGTGCGAGTTACAAATGACGTGTCGCAAACGCAGCTGGAGCCAGTCGGCTGGGTAAACATGAAGATCGAACTATTCCGTGTGGAGAAATAATGACACTTTATTCTTTCTAGAACCTGAAATTTGAAACACAACTGAGTTTCTATTCAAACGCTGAAGCTTCATGTTTTATTTGTAGAATATAATATATAAAATGAAATAAGAAAACTTTAATTCAATGGAAAAGTAAAAGGACTTTTCTAGTGTTTCTACGATTTTTTTTTGTCTCAGTTGTTTCGTATTATTCCCTTTTTCAGTAATTTTTTTTCATATTGTGATATATCCTCCTCCTTTGACTCATCGCTTAACAAAGGTTTTTAAAAAGTATTCTCCGATATTTCACCAATAATTTTTTAAAGGTAAACTTTTACAAGGAAGTTTTGGAGCACAGGTGTTTTTAAACTGTTATATGATCTGTTTAGAAATAATAATCTCTGAAGCTCCTAAAAGAAAACTTTGAAGCTCATTAATAAGCGGAAATAATTAAAACGCATGAAAGTGTTTGCTAAGCTGTTTGTGTTACATTGAAAGTTGCTTAAAAGAGCCAATCAGTAGTTCACAGATAGCATAATCGCTTACATAAGAAAACATCAAATCATAATACTGATATAACTTTCGAACATTAAAATTAAAAACATTGCCGAAAAAAATCCACACAATTTTATGTGGACCAACGTTTGTGAAGGAAAGGGGAATCATTTTAAAAGTGCTCATTCTTGTTTCAGAATGTATTTAACGGCATCACCATTACTTTTTTCAAGTATTTACGTCTTGTTTGTTATACGGAACATATTATGCGAGGAGAGGATAAAAGTAGGACCTGGAGCAGATAAAGAGAAGAAAATTAATCCATATATTACAAAGTTTCACCAGGAAGCTAATTTAAGACCCACAAAATGCCAAGGTAAGCAATGTTATACGTCTTAAACAAGATTGTAAAATTAAACTCAGGTGGAAAATATGACGAACAAAACTCAATTGCTACAATTAACTGATTTTAGCCGTTATTACTGTGGAAATAACTACAGTATATCTTAATACCTCATATCGGTTTAAGTTGAGTGACAATTTCAAAATAAGTCCGTTTTTAAACAAAATCTTTGACTGAATTGTTTTTCAAGTTAAATTTAAAAAAAATTAAGCCACACGTAATTCTCTTAGTTTTCTGTTGAGGACATTTTACCGCATGGTTACATTCAACTAGGATCCGAAAAGCTTGTGAGATCTTTCTATCAGTATCAGATTTGAACGACTCTCACATCGCATAATTATCGTCGTTAAACTCTTTTAAAGCTCTGGTTTGTAGCTTTTAATAGTATGGTCTACTTTTCAAAGACCGTTTTCAGAAAATCAACCTCAGTTTAAAATCTAGCCGCATCAACTTGCTATAAACAGGTTTTGAATTGACACATGAAAAGTAAAAGAACATTAATAATACCGTAAATTGCCGCTCATAAGCCCTTCCTCCTCTCCACTTATAAGCCTCCCTGGTTATAGGCCCATCTACCTGAAAACAAAAAATTCGTCCGGTCTTAAATATTCCCCTTCACATTTCTTCTTGTAACTTTTCTTGTTTACTCTGAGAACTCTCTACGACATCAAACAGAAATTTTGAAAAATTGTTGCGGAGCAATGAGTTCATTACTTATTTTTGATGGTGAAAGACGAACTGCGAGGGAAAAGTACGTCTGAACTTCCGTTTTGTTATTTTCCAGTTGGTTTTAATTATTTTCTAAATGTAGTTAAAAGTATTGGATTTACTGTGACATATTGAAGCCTGATTAAAAACCAATGAAAACAAAACCCATTTTGATCAGCATTTCTATAGCTCGTTCCGAAGCGCTTTTTCTATTCCTGTCATAAGCCCCCCGCACGTAAGGCCCTCTGTTTATTATCCCACCTATGAACCCTTACGAAGTTGTATGAGCCCACGGATTATAAGCGGCAGCTTATTAAATAAACATAATATATTAAATAAACATATCTGTTTTGTTTCAGTGTGTCGACTTCTTGTTACCGAGTTTCTAGAGCAAATGAAGAAAACGAATCGTCGGGAGGATGTACCTCGAGGATATTTACTTGAAGATCTAGACAATCAGGAGAAAAGTATCCATTATGAAAAATCGTGAGTTCTTTCTACCACGCACAAAACCCCAACCCCTTGGTGTGATTTGTATGTAAACTCTCCTTAGCATGACAATACGTTATTCTGCAAACAGTTGATGAGAATAGACAACTTTTATCCGCTGAAAGATTTAACCCTCATAGAATACTCTCAAATTAGTGACGGGGAAATGTTCACCAGCTTGGGGGGGATATGAGAATCATATCAACTGAAGGGTTCAATGCGCTACCATCCTGTTAGTGCATCTCGACAATATTAGCATAATATAACATGTCCAAGTTGGCTGTTTCCAACCCGTGTCAGCTGACCACAGATATCTTATCACGTGTATTTCATCCTTTAAGGGAGCTTCGTCTCTTGGACGTCTTGGACAATTTGTGCGAGAGAATGAAACTTTACCGCGCTAGGCCTGGTCCTGAATTTCCTTACATTAAAGGAGGTTTGTGACCCAGTTATTTCATCCGAACAAAATTGCAAAGATACTTTTTACAGTATTTAGAAAAGAAAATTTGACAAGAACCTTAAAGGAGCATGCATGTTTTATAGATTCCATCACTGTCATTAAAACTTTGTGTTAGACTGTTGGAGGACAGACGCACAGATGACGTCAAAAATACAACACTTTACGTCATTTGTGATCTACTATAGTAACTGATCAAACACACGATAACACGGAATCTATTTATTAATTAGACAATCGGACCTTTAAATTCTATCATTACGAGCGATGAAGCTGTCAAGGTTAGACTTGCAATTGGAATGCGGCATAATAATTCTTTTTTATTTTTCAGCTAAAAGTCAACTTCGAGAAGTTTTGGAAGATATGCAAGAGAAATCAAAAGTTAAACTTAATTACGAGCTACCGGATGAAGTCGTAGAAGACTACACTTATGAAATGGGGAGACTCAAATTCAAGGTTAACAAGTTTCGCCTCCATCTATTCAACCCTTTCTGCCTTTCCTCCCAGGCTAAAATTCTTATTAACTCAAATAAAGGCCGTTTTTCAAATGGCAAAACTTGCCAGTCAAACCGCTCTATCCACACACTGAGCGGAGAAAGTGTTTCAAACGGACGAAGTGGGTTCAGGTCGAAACAGTCTGTTTTTTCTTGAGTATTCGCAGAGCGTATTAGCGTTTTGAATGCCCAATGAAGAATATATGGCGTGTTTAATCTTCAATCATTTCTGGCATTTGGAACACACAGAGGACACATCTCACTGGCCCTCGGGCACAAGAAGTAGTCTTTCGTTATCTGTTGACATCAGCGAGGAAGTGCTTTCTTAGCTGAGCCGGACGGCCTAATAAATGTGATTAATTGCGCCATGACGCCATCATTCATATTAAGAAACTTGTAAAAGTACAAGCT